TTTTTTTTTTTTTTTTTTGCATATATGGCCAATATTAGGACAATCAATTAGCAGGTGTGATAGGTGAAACCACACCAAAAGCAGTCCCAACTGGAGGAGCTGAATAATATTCTTACTGGGCTAAAAGAAAAATAATGGTTTTCCAACTCACAATGCTTCAAATCATTTTATGGAAACTGGTGACATAAGCAATATGTCAGACTCATATATCTACTTTAGACTTATATGCTTTAACTTGATTTCTTTATCAGGATCAGTTTTAATTTACACTAACTTTGCTAACAAAGCGTTAGTCTCATGAAAACGTGTTGGGAATGTTCGTAGCAATAATACATGGTGTACTGATGTCAGCATTAAAGCATGGTTAAAGTAATTCATGCTCAATTATTTGTGGAAAATGTGTTTCCCTGTTTATGGCCTCTTTATGCAATATTGATGCCCATGTTGTTAACCATATTTCACCTGTTACATACATAAAATAAATCTAACTGAACATGTCTGATTAAACAGAAAACATTGATTGCTTAAGACACAATTTTTTTAATAAAATTATTTGAAGCGCTATGATTTGGAAAACTATTATTTCTCTTTCTTTGTCTGTCTCTAAGTGTAGCCCTGTGATAGACTGGTGACCTGTCCAGGGTGTCCCCTGCCTTCACCCTAAGTCAGCTGGGATAGACTCCAGCCCCCAGCAACCCCAGTGAGGATTAAGTGGTGTATAGATAATGGATGGATAATGGACTGACACTGTTTCTAAATGAGCTCTAAAACAGAAACGGTTCAGACACTCACCACGTCATTAATAGGTTTAAACAGCCTGAACAGCGAGACCACTCTGAAATTCACTGAGAGAAATTCATAGAGATTACATCAAAGTTTTACATCTTATCAAATCACACAATGTTAGAATGAATATAGTTTACTGCTACAATTCCCTCTGTTGTCTGAGTTGCATTATTTAACGTTAACTTTCCAGTTTCCTGTAGTTACCTGTTTGTCCTGGGAGGTAGATTGGTTTATCCATTTGGATAAATATCAGTACTGGAAACTTTTTGATCAGGACTTTCTTGACTTCTCTTGAGAAAAATGTGTTGCCTTGTACCTTCACCTCCACATTCTGCAGCTCTTCATTGTCCACTGCAGGAGTCTGTGACAGAAAGAAACTTCATTCAGGCGCCAGACATGATAACCAACCAAACAAAATCTGTTGTTTCCTTTGTATGAAAGTAGCATCAAAGTAATGGTTGGAAGTGTTAGAAAATCCTCAAAATATTCTCCAACTTCAACAATCTTCTATTTGAATGAAGACATTTTCAGGGAATGGTTTTGGAAACAAGCACATGAATCAAAACAAGTGTTGGGAGCTGACCTTAAACACAACACAATCGTGAAAGCCTTCTTTGGATTTCCGCTCTAGTAGAGTCTTGTTCTGATGATTGGACATCAAAGTGACGGTCATGTGCAGAGTCTCATTGGGCTGCATGAGGCTTGCACACACAGTGGTCTTAGTTCCAGCCTCAAGAACTGCAGGAAACGTCACCATGTATTGCCTACAGACAGACAGATTCACACACACACAGCAGTTACTCTCACTCTAACGTGGAAGAAGCTTCAGTGCAGTATTCATGTGAACTGGTTGAAAAATTAACACTCACATACACAGAAACAAAAAACAAATCATACCATTTCCTCAGACAGTAAAGTTAAACTTACGGTCCAGTCAGCGCTTGGCTCACACACACCCACAAGGCGCACAGCGTCCATGTCCACATCTGAATCCTGGGACGAGCCATGATTGACTGTGATGATCCTCAGAGTCAGCATCTGTTAAATAGCTGCTGATACAGAAACCCAGCCCAGCTTCTCTCACACAAGCACACCCACACTCATCATGCAAGCCCCTCCCTTTGACTTCCAGGTGTCTCACAAATCTTAAGCAGTTTATTATAGTTTATAAAACTGGCTGCAAATAAAAGCCTATTTTAAATAGTTTGGTCAGGCAAGTTTCAAAGTTGAAGACATCTTTTTAGGTCATGTGTGATGTGGATTTTTTTCCCCGCAGCTTCACTCAGGTTGGACAGTAACAATGAGGCATTTGCTAAAAGTGGACAACATGACACTTAGAGCTGGAACATCTAACGGTGTCTTAACAATAATAGAACATGGGGCGCCCCTATAGTTCACCTAGTTGAGCAGGTGACCCATGAACAGGGGCTTTAGTTCTAGGACACAGTGGTCGTGGGTTTGACTCTCGCTCACAACCCTTTTCTGCAGGTTTCTCCCCATTCTTCTCCCCCCTTTCCTGTCTGTCTCTACTGCTCTAAATAAAGTCAAAAAGCCCAAAAAACACATTTAAAAAAAACAACAAAAAAACAAATACAACATGATGATGGCAAAAATAATGATCCTGATTATTTTGATTGATACTGAAATCTTGACTAATAAACATGATTATTAGTTTATTTGAAAACATGAGTATTTATTTAACCACCAAAACTCAACTTCCATGAACAATCGGAAATAGATTAGTAACAAGTAAACATCACGTAAAACAATATTAATAACAACAAATTAAAAATGAGAATAGCAAAATGTAAAAACAAGAAATGAAAAGAAATAAATAGCCTACTTCCAAACTTCCAAAAGTTGCAACATGTAAAAAAAACACTGACAAATAAACACTAATAAAAGCTGAAGGAAAAAAAAAAAAAAGCCCCAAAATATTCTTTGAAGGTTTTTCAATGTCTTATACGCCCTCAGCCCAGCTTCCTGCAATCTGTCTCCTACAAACTCAAGTTTTTGGCTCAGAACATCAGACTGTTCACTTGGTCTGGCTTAACCATGATGCAGCCCTTGTGGCAGGGATGCTCAGGGGTTTCCTAGTCGGTTTGGAGAGCCGTGGGTAGAGTGACTGTGTTGTGGTGCTGGCTGCACTTTTTTGTGTCTTCTGGTCCATTAGCAGTTGGTCATAGATCAGTTTGTGATGAAACTTTAAGTGGTTGTATAAATTGGTCGTGTTGCTGTGGGGTGCAGACACGACAGCGTGGCAAATTTTGCAAACAATTTCTTTCTGCTCCACGTCTGAGATCTTGAAACCAAAGCGTTTCCATATCGGTGATGCTATTCTGCCTTTCTTGTCGACTAAAGGCCGCCTTTCTGCCTTTTTTCTCAACCGTTTCTGGCTTGCAGCACCTTCGAGTAAGACAGGTGTGTTCCAGGAGCTCAGGAATTCGCATGCACACTGCAGAACCAGAGGAGCCAGTTCAGCAACAGGCTGCTCCTCCTCAGGTGCAAAACTAACAGGACCAAAAACTCCTTTGTCCCCCGAGCCTTCAAACTGTTCAACTCTGAGCTCGGGGGGAGGGGGAGGAGCAGCAAGCGGGGAGAGGTGGGGAGCGAGGGGTGAGGAGTGAGGACATTGGGGTGAGACAGAGCATCATGCTCTATCACTGGATTGTGTGGAATATTTAGGCACTTTGGCAATTTTGTTACTGTATCCATTATTATTACTACTAATGTTGCGTTGGTGTTGTGTTGTTGTTGCTAGTACAACAGTTTCCCTGAGGTTCTACTAAAGGGATCAATAAAGTTCTATCTATTTATCTATCTAGGAACAACAGTCGTTCATCTTCGATTATTATGTTTTTGTGAGCAAGAGAAGCTGAAATCATAATTGAAATTCGATTAATTGTCCAGCCCTAATTTATGATATATTTTAGCATTACGTTCGGTGCTTTTGTTCCATGGTGATGAAGGCAGTATATAAGAGCTGTATTCTGAAACTGTTGTTATTTCTCTAAATCAGTGGGAGGCATTCGTGTTACAGTAAGCGCAGTTTTGCAACGATGCCCTTTACCCAGCGTGGGATGTTTGGTTTGTCTGCAAACACTTCTTAACCTTATTACATGGGCCAAAGAAAACACGTTCCCCCGTAAGTAAACTTTTGTGGTGATAACGTCCTCAAACACAACTCATGCATTACAACACAGTAAGAAATGTGCCTACTGTTTAAAATTGCCTTCACATTTATCAAATACAAACACTCAAACCCTTTATGTTTGTGATATGCAGATTATTTTGCTTTTTCAAGCTGAAAAGGTGCACGCAGTAGCTGGAACGACTTGACCGTCAATGTGAGGATAAATATGTTTCAAAGGGCTGTCTTTGTTGCTCTTCAATTTTCATCTCTACAGTAAACAAAACAGATGATACATAATCCACTGAAACACTGGCAACAACTTCAAGAACAATGACAGCGATACTCTACGTGTTCCCTTTTAGGTTTGGCTTTTTTTGACCTTGATGGTTTGTCTTTCCTGAAAGAGGAGTTGCGTTTTTTCCCCTCTACATTTTGGGGGGAAGCCTAAACACGAGAAAGTGCAGAAGTAGGTAAACTACAAGACAACCTTAAACCTTAGGTCAAAAACTGACACCACAACTGGATTTTGATGCAGAGAAAGTTTGAACTGTTTATTCCGAGACTCTGTTTCACCTGGAGATAGGTGGGGATTTTGACCATGAGTCATGTCAAGACGAATTAGTTGTAGAGCATCCAGCTTGTTATGTGGACACCAACAGTGAGGGGGCGTTTTGGTCCTCCAGTAACATCTATATATGTTATAGATGTTATGGTAAAGGGAAATCTAGGAATTGCAGGGATGTTTTTCCACAGGATGTTCAGGAGTTTATGAATGTTCCAGTATTACCTGATATTTCAGTGGACAAAAAGTACATATAGTAAGGGCATTTTATGAGATATTTCACAAATCTGACAACTAAATTGTTACCAAACAATTTCTTTACCAATATGTTTGTGAAGGTGTGTAATAACATGTCTTAAAATGTTGAAGTTCAGCTCTCGTGAGAAACCCTGAAAAAACCTGCTCAAGTTAAGAGTCTCTGGTTTGATCACTCCCGCATTTCTTAAGAACATGTTGCACAAAATTTGGAACAGAAATACAATTATTATTATTATTATCATCATTATTATTATTATTTTTAACATTTTTACTATGATGACAACGATGATGATGGTGATGATGATGATGACTATTTGTTCGAAGTAAGAGCAGTATTATCATGATTACCTGTCAAACAGAATTGTTTCCCCATGGCCAGCAATTGCAGAAACCGTGAGAGATTCTTCTTAACCACATCATGATGTCTGAAAGATCCAAGAATCTCTCTCTTGAGAGACAGAAGGGCTACCTTCTCTTCTGTCATGCCTTCACAGGGTGTGATACGGTTTCTGCAATTGTTGGCCATGGGAACACACCTCTATTAGACAGGTAATAATAATAACACTGCTATTACTTCGACAAATAACAATAACCATCATCATCATCATTAGTGTCATCATAGTAAAAATATTTTAAAAAATAATAAGAAGAAATGTATTTCTGTTTCACATCATACTTGACACAAACCTGGTGCATTTTTTCAGGTTTTGTGCAGGGGACGTGGATGAGTGCATGGACACCTTCCTTGACACAGAAGCCACCAAGGAGGCAGTGATTCAGGCTGGTACAGCGATTCTCCAGTACATTTATCATGGACCAGATACTACATTGGGTGAAATTTGGTACAACACGTTTTCAAGGAAGGTGGCGGCAGGAGTGATCAAACCAGAGACTCTGCCTCTAACAGAGGGTGCAGCTGCACAGCCTTCACTCTGTGCCTTCCTGCAGACCAGGACTGGA